ATAATAGCTGGTGTTCACGAATGAAATATATTTCAATCTTATATGTAAAACAAATAAATTTTCTTTTTATTTCATGCCTTTTAAGTGATTTTCAGTATTTTTTACTGATTTTGCCGCGTAACGTCGAGCATTCTCCTTAGTGACGTCATCACATCATGACGTCACATCATCAATTTTTAAATATAGTTCTGTTTAATTTCTCTAATTTTGTTACATTTTTAACATGATGTATGGTGACATCGACTTTCTTTTCCTAAAGAAGCACAATTTACGTATGACGGCATTTATTTCTGCCTCTTATTCCATTTAGTTATGATTTTCTTTTCATCGCATTTGGCTACAGTGAAAATTATATTTTATCACGGATTTATATTGCGTAACATAATAAATTCAATTTCAAAATTAATAAAAAAGAAGCCGATGTAAGTTATCCACAGTTGATCAAAGATGCAATATTTAAGATTTATTTGGTTATGTAGTCAAATTAATTGACGCACAATTGTTTTACGCTCAACACGTGAAGTAAATTTATTCATTTTAATAAATACAAGATATTGCTGATATTGTCAATACATATATTGCCATTTTCATAGGATATTTAAATTTTCTTCATCATTTATATCACTATTATTTTTTTTTGTAAATCTGTTTTCAAATGTCGGTGCAGTGAAGTTGACAATCATCGTAACAGTAAAGTTCTCTCGTGTGGCTGTCTCGATTCCGGCCTTTTTAATGTCACTCGTATATTTTAATTATTTCACTCGTATATTTCAATTATTCTTTTTATTTGAATGCCTGTAGAAAGATATTTCTGATATTTTTTAATGTAACGCTATAAAACAATAAAAATCTTTACAGTTGTCAGTATTATGCGAAATAAAAGTAACTGTTGATTATTTTTTACACATCGCTTAAATTTCTTTGAAGTTTAATTACTTTTGAAGGGGGTTAATTACCAAGTAACAAGTGATAATTGAAAAACTTTATTTTCAAACTTTCATCATCAGGTTACATGTGATAATTTCAACAATGAATATTCAAAAACAAATAGAATTTGAATGTATATGTTGTATGTGCGCGGTCTTTAACTACAGTCCATGTGTGGTAAGAAAATGATTCTGAAGCGGATATATATAAATACAATGGAAATCTATTTTCTTTATTAACATTTATAAATGAAATTGAAAATAAACAACTAAATTTGTATAGTTCTTTCTTTGAAAAATAATGAAAATAAACATATGACAAATAAATCATTTGACGTGAATTGTGAAGGATAACTATGAAAAAAATCTGTTTAAAAAAAAATAATATTATAAAACAGCTGTTCAGTATGCCAATAAAAGTTTCTTCCTTGCCAATGTAATGAATTCATCTATATATGAACGAATGTCTAGAATGATCTGAAAATATATTTAATACACTAATTAGTAGAATATATACTATATTTATACTGATATACAGGTATATCAAATAAAAAATGTACAAATCATTTGGAAATAATTCACAGAAATAAAGACACATTTCAAACATGAATTTCTTTAAAAGTATTTTAGCAATCAAGAAACATTTTTTTGCAATGCCACCATTAAACCATGTAAAAAATAATTATCTTAATCTGAATCGCGGTAATAATTTATGTTTGACGTAAAAGGGCGTCAAAGTGTAGAGAGTATGCCTAAACAATAGGCGAATATTTTTTAAATTAGGTACTTTTTAACTAAGCGTCGCAGCGTTCTATCGGCGTATTTTCATATATTAATACTTTAGCTGCACAAAATAATACTGCATCAATACATTCATATGTGTATAATTTTTCACAAAGCTGCAATAACACCACATACTCTTGTGAAAATCTGTCATATTTCGCACTCCGAGCGTTCCGCCATATCATTCTGTCCACCTTTATCCGATTCCGCGCATGCGCGCGACGGGACTTTAAGCGGCAGCACACCACACTAAATGAAGCCGCAGCTTCGAATGGCCAGGGAGGATTTCATGGATATAGTGACTATTGTGGATTTAAATGACTGGTTGTCTTTAAAATGCATTTTCAGCATGAAATTTGTTTTTGTGACATGTAATATGATCATTGGCAAATTCGAAAACATTGTTAGAAATCACATGCTGATAATTATTGATGTCAAGGTCGCCATTGTTTGTAAACATTGCTTTTAAACAGCATGCTCGGTGAAAAAAAGTAGTTTTACAGGGGGGTACAAACTTTCAGCAATAGCAAAAAATCTACAAGGCCAAGCACCTATTTCTTTGTGATATTTTGCATGCACAGGGAGTTGCTAAAGCAGTGACAGAGTTTTTGTAGACCGTATATTTGCAGGTATTTTTTGCCGGAGGGACGAAAAATGTTGTTTTGGGTCTCGGACCACTATAGATTTTTGGCTTTTACGGAATGAATTGGATTTTTTTTAACTGCCTGACTGTTGCACATGGGATGATTTCATTACAGATTTGCAATGGTATGACATATATGTTCTTAACAAAATGTGTTTTCTTTTTCCAGGTTGTGTAGTTTGGGATCAGATTTATCAGACATATTGCTTGTAGGACATTGACGGCAGAAACTTGAAATTTAGTGTGGAGTGCTACCTAAACGAAAGTGTCCGATCCTTGTAATATAAATCCGTGATTACAATAAAACACTGGAAAGCATGAAATAAATCAGTGATAAACAACAGGTTTACCGTGAACAAAATATCTCGAAATTAATAAGGGTTACAAACCATAATTTAGAATAATGTGGTTTTCTTCAGGCTGTTATCTTATAACTTCAATTTCTAAACTTAAAAGAAGACAAGAGGGTCATGATGGCCCTGAGTCGCTCACCAGAAGCAATTTTCAGTGTTGGAAATTATCCATTGTCAATATTTTCTAATATCAAATTTGAGCATAGAATAATTTGAAGAAATACCATGACCTGGGGCATTTAAGCTTTAGCTTAAACGGGGCCAATCAAATTAATATGAGCAAACTTGATAAAAGACTACCTAAGAATGCTACTAAGTTTGGTGATCATCTATCAATTATTTCAGTAGGAAATGGTGTTCAAAGGTTTTTCTATTTTTAGCTTTAGTGGCCCCTAAAAGAGGCTAATCAAATTAATATGAGCATACTTTTAGTTCTGTAGAAGAAGATGTCTAAAGGCTTTTTTCTATTTTTAGCTCTGGAGACCCCTAAAAGGGGCCAATCAAATTAATATGAGCATACTTGATAAAAGACTACCTAAGAAAGCTACTGACAAAGTTTGGTGATTATCCATTAATTAGTTCTGTAGAAATAGACATTTAAAGGTATTTCTATTTTTAGCTTTAGTGGCCCCTAAAAGGGGCCATTCAAATTAATATGAGCAAACTTGTTAAAAGACTACCAAGGAATGCTACCGACAAAGTTTGGTGATCATCAATCAATTAGTTCTGTAGAAATAGACGTTTAAAGGTATTTCTATTTTTAGCCCTAGTGACCTCTAAAAGGGGCCAATCAAGTAATATGAGCAAACTTGATAAAAGACTACCCAAGAATGCTACAGTCAAAGTTTGGTGACCATCAATAAATTAGTTCTGTAGTAGAAAATGTTTAAAGGTTTTTCTATTTTTAGCTCTGTTGACCCGTAAAAGGGGCCAATTGAAATGGCAAGAGCAAATTTAAGTGTGACTGTCACAAGGATGCTACAGACCAAATTTGAAGTAAATCTGCCCATCAGTTTCAGAGAAGAAGAAGAGTGTTAACGCATGGCGACAGACGCCGGAGCATCACCCTTTAATACTAATAGCTCACCCTGAACCTTCGGTTCTGGTGAGCTAAAAAAGAAGGTCCTGAATCACACATCTGAGACTATCTATGATAGAATATATTTAAATACATGTATATATTTTATACTTTTTTTCAATATATACCTCCAAGGACATCATTCTTCTTCACTTAATAAAATGCAACACAAGAGCATGTATGCTTTATACAGTCAGAGTGTTAAATATGAGCCGCGTCACGACAAAACCAACATAGTGCATTTGCGACCAGCATGGATCCAGGTCAGCCTGCGCATCCGCGCAGTCTGATGAGGATCCATGCTGTTCGCTTACCAACTCTAATACAAGTAGAGAAACTGATAGGAAACAGCATGGATCCTGATCAGACTGCACGGATGCGCAGGCTGGTCTGGATCCATGCTGGTCGCAAGCACATTATGTTGGTTTTGTCACCACTGTTCATTGTGTTATGTTGGTTTTGTTACTGCGGCTCATTGTGTTGAAAGATAAATAAGTTCATATCATGACTGAGATGAAGTTACGCCAAGATTTTCTTTTCTTGACAGCCTATTTACATTTTAAATGGACCGCGATCATGTCATATAATCAATTTTAGTAAAATGGTCAATCCAAAGATTCCCACTCTAATGTTAATGTGAAACAGGCATTCTCCCCTCCTGCAGGCCATACCAGTTGAAAAAAGTTTGTCACAGAAAATTTGTTTCTTTGTACAAGGAACTTGACCTCTGTTACCATAGGCAAAAGAAAGATATTAATATAATGTTATCCTTTAACCTAGTGACACCAGATGATATTCAAATTATTGACAGGAAAAAGGTATTTAAACTTAAGGTCATGGTGGCCATTACCTTGGTATTTGTAAGCATTAATACCAAGGCATAATTATGCCAATTCTAACACATTTTTTGTCATATCTTGCGGTTGATCTACCATTTTGGCTTCCCTCGATAACTTATCAGTAATAACCAATTTCAATACAAATAAGTGACTACTAATATTACATCATTTCTGAATCAGTGGTGAGAGACAAATGACCGTTAGACTCAATGTCAAGGTCAACTGTCAGGAGAAATGGTAGAACTGTTCACTCCAAGTGACAAGCTTTCTCAGAATGACTCATTACTATAGAGTCATTGGAGAAAAACCTCGTAAAATTAAATATTAACAATGACAATATAAAAATATTCAAATGCTGATAAAATTACATACATCATATAATAATACATGTAATTTGTGCTTTATTTCATGTCTCAATGCTTGAATAACAAGCCATATTCATATAAACATAAATAACAAGCTATCTGACAAAAAGCAAGCTCAACTTGGAAAAAAAACTAGCACTATGCAGGAATTGTCTAAAAAAAACAAAAGCACTATGATGGGACTTAATCACTGCCATAATTAATTTTTCTATAAAAGGTGAGAATTTCTAAAATGCAGAAGCCACGGCAAAAATCAAAACAAGGGCCATCAGTGATGACATGTGTCGCCTCATGATAGCCAGTTGCATGTTGCAGCTACTGTGTAGCAGGAGACCCAAAAATCATTAACAGGGCAAAACACACTTTTTTATTCAACGCCCATAACTTGGCTGAAAAGCCTTCAATCAGAAAACACGTATACTATGTTCAAGTACTTGAGCTTACGATCAATCTTGTAAAGTTTCATTAAAATTGCAATAGTGGTATAAGTCCAGACAAATTTTAAAATTGAAATCATTAATGGGACAAAAATCATAAAATCAAAAAAATTTGATGAGATGCACAACTAGACATAGTATTCATTATTCCTGTACAGTTTTGATTAAAATGCACAAGAGTAGTCCAAACAAGTAGCTGACAACACAAAAAGACACCTTTTTTATTGAAGGGCCATAACTCTGCAAAAAATCATTTAAATGGAAAACCTGTGTTATAATGTTCAAGTACTTGACTTACATGTACTTATCAATCCTGTAAAGTTTGAATGAAATTGCATTAGTGGTATAAGAATAGTAGTCTGGACAAATTTCATTAACAACTTTTTATTAAAGGGCCAAAATTCCGCCCAAAAATCATTTAATCAGAAAACCCGTGTAATATGCACAAATACTTGAGCTACCAATCAAACCTGTAAAGTTTCAATGAAATTGCATTAGTAGTATAAGAGGATAACTCCAGACAAACCTTAAAATAAAAATAATTAAAGGGCCATAACTCTGTCAAAAATCATTGAACCAATATGTGCGCCACTACTCCATAGAGGCCATACAAAAAATAGTGCAAAGGTCACAAAAAAATTCTGTATTTGATCAAAATTTGAAGGTCACATCTTAAAAAATTGTTAGGTAAGTCAATGTCATATTCATTTCAAGTTACTTTATTTACATGAATACACACAAATGTAACTGAAGTCTCAACCAAATTTAATATTTTTTTTGGAGCTATATTAATAAGATTTCAACAAATAAGAAGACTTGCCATATAATTCATATAAAAGTCAAGGTACTCGTAAAAAGACTCTATTTCAAATCACACAACTTTTTAAAAGAGATGTTCAAACAAGAAATACATTAAGCTAAAAAAAGAGACTTTCATGAGCTTGTTAAAGTTCAACACTTTTAGCCTATTTCAGTGTCATATGAAGAACATCATGACCTTCACTTAACATTACTTTGTCAACTTGATTATTACATGTATATTCAGTGGATAAAACACTATATAAATTTGTATAGGCTGTAGAAAATACATAAGAGCCAATTTAAGGACGTATTATATCCCGTAAAAAATTATATAGGCAAACTTGGCAGCACCAACTTCATTGATTCTTCTCTATTCAGATTTCACAAATCCATGACTATTTACAAGTTGAAAAGTTCTAATGTTTTGATCATAAAGAACTATGATTTACTGTTCTTCCATAGTTTTAAGCAAATCCTTTACTTGGGCAAGATGTTTAGCTTCCTTCAGCTGTACATCTTCAAACAGTTTCTGCAGCATGGTTCCCGTGACTTCATCTATTTTTACAAAATATACTCTATTATCAACCGACACAACTACTTTAACGTTGTCAAACTCTTTCAATATTTTCAGTACCTCACCTCCAACTTTACTCTGAAAAAACACAACAAGAAAAGATCACACATCAAATAATATTGAAACTTCATTTTTTGAAATACATGTAGAGCTAAGGTCAATTGATAATTGCAACAGCATGATAATGTGTAAACAGAAGTTTGTATGTTTTCTTCAGGACACTTACAGATCACTTAATGAAAGTAAGACATATTTTTTGGAGGGAAACACATGAACTTTCAAGTGAAGACAAGAACATACATTTTTACATTTTCCTTTATAAGGTAATGGAATAGAAACTTATAATTTTTTTGGGTTTTGCTTTAAATCAAACTTATACCGTAAAGGTCGTAAATTATAGCAGTTATTTAGCTAAATACTAGTAAAGATATATGTTACACAACTATATATTCATTGTTTCTCACTTAAGCTGGTACAAGGCCAAACTACTGCACCCTTTGTAAGATAGCTGGATAGCTATCTTAAATATAAAAACCTGATAATCTGAGAAGGAATCGAAACCAAAGTAATTTAAAGCAAGTACTCTGAGGACAGCAATCTACCGCTCGGACTTTAGCATTTCAATAATTCCAGTATCAATTAGGAAATGATTTCTAAGGTTTGTAGAACATGTATTCAAATCAATTCAATATGTTTTAAATATTAAAGTACAACTTAAAATTCATGTACATATAATCAATTTTACTTTAAATATTCACCTTCTGATCAAAAGTAACAGTAACTTTTCCTTCATTTACTAATGTTTCCAAAATTTGATCCATTTTTTCATTTTTGGCAGTTGCTTCGTGATGAAATTGTATGATTTTTGTCCTTGACTCTTTCCTTGCACCAGATTTTCCTCTCAACTTATCAAATAGTAGAAAAACTTTAAACTTTCCATCACCCATATCAACGGTTGCGGCTTTTTCACTATCTGGTTCCACTTCTTTAAACTTATAGCGTTTATAGCGATGGCAGAACTTTTTAAGGACATACATTTCAGCATTGCATAAAAACTTTCCATCGGGATATAATATTCTCCATGTTTCATAATCTTCTTTAATCATCTTCAAAAGAGAAATAGAGGTATGAAAAGGTCTCCCTGTTTCTGAATATTTTAACTCTAGCCTGTTGTGACGTATATGATTGTTCAAGGTACCAGTACAATGAGAGGTTAATCTAGTGCTCAGCGCTTTTGAATCACATGATACTAAAGATGGGAGGCCATGTTTCCTGATATTTTTCTGAAATCCTTTCAAATGTTGAAATCTGCAGCATCTGACTAGGCACAGGACCATTTTCAATGTCTCTCCTGTAGCCACCTAAAAGTAAATTCAACAAATTATGTCAATGGAGTGATATAATCATACAATTTGTTTGTCTGCTTTTTACGCCAATTTTAACACAATTGGGTCAAAACTCTGCTTATACTAACACCATTGATGCCTATCAGAATATGTTCAGGACAAAACCTGTACATTTATTCCGATATCAAACCTTGAACTGTTTTTTTTTCTGGCAGCACCGTAAGTCTTATAACTGTGAACATTTGTGATATAATCTGCCCATTAAAAAAATCCTAAATTGTCCATTCAAACATGATTTTCATGTTTTTATTTGACTTATAACTTCTATGAGTGACCTTGACCTTGGCCATACGGACGTGAATCCTCTGGAGCCCAGGGTTCTATGATATGACCGTACTTAACGTTTATCATATAATATTTAGATACAAATTTCAAGCATGAATGAGATTTTTTCCATTAGGAGGGGGGATTCACTCCCATTTTTAAGAATTCCCCCCTATTTTTTCAGAGGCAGGGGCAAAATTTTACATACAGAAAAAGGGAAAAGATCAACAAATTTAATAAATTCTCACTTTTCGATAAAAATCCTCTGTTTTTCTTATCTTAGAATAGACACTGTTTTTTTCTATTTAATAAGTGAACTTTTCCAAAACTGTTGGACAAAAATTTATTTCAAAAGATCAAATTAAAATGTCATTTTTTTAACTATGCTATTTTGCGTGATTTCAGTGGAGGTTACTATGGTATCACGGTAATGCCCAAAAATGCAAGTTAAAATGTATGGAATATAGATCTGGGTCAAAATCTTCAAATTAAGTTTTGAAAAACTTCCAACAGTTAATTTACTATAAAATTCAAACTTAATAAACAGATGATATGTCAGTATATGGCATTACAACATTAAATATGAAGATTTTATAAAATAGTTTTCTGACCACGAATGAATTCATAACATTCACAAAATTACATTTATTGGCAGATGCTTTGTAAGTTAGCAGTGATTTTTCTCACTTAATTGGGAAGTCAGGCCTTAGCCTCTTGATTTTGGGGAAAATTATTGCTAAAATTGCTGATTTTGGGAAGGAAAAAAGCTGGTTTAAGTTCAGATTTTTGGGAAAACTGCATGATTTTAAAGAAAATTTCAATTGGGAAGAAAAAATAAAAATAGTAGCATTGTAATGTGTTGCTTTTACTAAAGTAGCCAAAGAAATTGTTAATACCGTGAAATCATAGGAACATACAAACCGTGGTAACATAGGAACAGAGTTTATATTGGTAATAGGGGTGTGGAGCGTCAGATAAGTGACGATCTGATCCATGATTAGCATGAGAAACCGATACAAAAGTATTTCAAAACATTGGAAGTAAGTTTTGCTGGTGGTATTTCATATCAGTGTGACTCCTTTTCAGCCATTGTTCCAGACCAGATGTGGGACGTCACACAGACTTAATTATTACCTTGAGTTTCGCAAGTTTTGTATTATTACAAAAATAAAATTGTCTTTGATACATGTCACCTTATTATAAATCTACATTTAATACAGTGTTTCTGCTACTCTGCGTTTCTCGCGTTTTTGACGCAATAATTTCACAAATGATGCATTGGAAAAGGCAAAGCGCGTTTTCTATGATGCAGTCATAATCTGCCTTACAGTACATGTAATTAGATGGATTTTCATTAAGTTATATCTCATATTATTAGCACCATCCCTTAAAAATTGGCAATTATTGTTTGAGTATCCGAAATGGCCATCCGAAATTTATTTATTTCCGGTAACTGCGGGTATGTATAAGTTGCTAACCTAGTCTGTATCGGCACAACATTTGACCGTTCTACAATCAGTCATGGTATACGGGATTTAGACATTCTGACATGCATGGTCAGGGTAAATATCGAGAGATCTGTGCATCTTACAATGGCAAGCACACCACAAAAGATAATGGCTTTAGTTAGTGACATAGATAACAATGTTATCTACATCTCTGCTTTAGTGGTCAAAAATATCAATTTCTGCAATAAACAGATGTATGACAGGTTAAATGACTGTATTAAGATTTTTTAAGATAAAAGATTTTTGTTTGCATCCGCAAAAAGTGAGAAATTGAAGTTAACATGACAGTGATATCAAACAGTTCTGAAATTTACTTTCGTAGTTTTTACTTATTTAAAATTTGACCATTAATAATTTCAAATGACCCCCATATTTTTATACAGAGAGTCACAAATGACCCAAAAAAATCTAGTCTGGTAGAAACACTGACATTATAGTGACTAAAAAAGCTTGAATTGTTACAGAACTCGATATTGTGGTTGTTCCACAGCGTGTCCTAGTACAGCTCCATAGCGTTACGGCGACTAGGTGACCTTTTCGTTGTAATGGTATTAAGGAAAAAAAAACAAATTTTCAATTTTTTTTTCTTTCACTCAACCCAGAATAGTTTTTTTTTCTTTTTAAATTTCAATTTTTTTATATGGGCACCAAGACTGGACGAGCACCTGTGCCCTGTCCCTGCTAGTCCTATAAATATGACTTCGCTTTAAGATATTTTTGCTTCTGGGCAAAGCAATGTCATATCAAAATTGCTCAAAAACCCATAGCATGTTCCGCCTGAAAATCGGGCGGAACAAAAAATAATTAAGACAGCGTGTATTTACATTAATTTTGACCTATTTATGAACAAAACTAAAAAATAAATACCTTTTGTCCAAATAATTAAACTGTCACATCCGAAAAATCATGATTAAATTCTCTGAGTCTCATGAATTTAAATTACTTTTACAGCCGATAAACAAATGGCGGCCATACAGTGCGCGAAATCTGATTGGCTAATTCAAATGCAAGCGTTAAACTGAGTCAGAACATTCTAACAGAATATTTTTTTAACGAAATAATTGCCCATGTGCCGTCAGTGTATTCGAATATATTTCCGTTCAAAAATTTGGAATCAATCTGTAAAGCATCTTGCTTAACCAGTATTGCTGATAGACAAAAATAGATTGATGTTTATATTTTATCTTTAATTGATAAGTATATTGTTGAGAGTTTTTGTGTATGATTGAGCATGAAATTGAAAGAAAAGAAGATAAGCTTTTGAATACAGCTTGAAAGGCAAGACAATAGACATTTTTCTGAATTTTTTATGATGCTATGCATTTTTGAGCAATAACTATTAGACGTCAGGCTTGACCGATATACACTATAACAAGCCTGTTATGTCTAATACGGGGAAGTCAAAGACCGGGCCCGCGAAGCGGGTCCGGGCTTTGGCTTGTCTGGCTATAGACTACACGTGTATATTTAAAAGAAAATCAAATAAAAAACAATTAAAAAATAAATAGAATTCTATACCTATCAATGAAATTTTCAGTGTCAGTTCTAGTCGGACGCCGCCATTTACAATGTAACTAAATGATAATAGGCGGGGTATTCCGATAACGAAACAAATCTCAACTTTTCGGATAAATAACAAGCATTTGATAGTATTGCGGGCAATACAGTAGTCCCCTACCGGTCCCTCAAAAAGTTCTTTAATTGTCATACACTCCTGTGTATTGCCATTTATAATGAATTTGAGGATGAAGTCTGTATTTGAAAATATCGACCACAAAACATAATAAAATAAGTTTGTCTATATCACAGTAATGTGTTAAGTTTCCATGCTTAGTAAGGAAATTATGTTTATACAACCTTGTCATATTATTACGATGTGGGATTTTAAAGTAAATCCTATAAGGAATGAAGAAGTTGGAGTGAAAATACCAGTTTCTCGAAAAAAATCTAAGTTCAAGGGGGACATAATTCTGGAAATAGTCTTGCTAGAGTATTTAACCTTCTCAAAAATGTCGAGTGATAATAAGAAACATATATATGAAGTTTGAAGTAGATACATTAGGAAATAAAGAAGTTATTTAAAAAATACAACATTTTTTCCCCTAAAATATCTAAGTTCAAGGGAGATAATACTGATATTTTTGTGCTAGAGTTATAAACCTTGTCACATATGATGTGGTTGATGACCAGAAACTTATATTTAAAGTTTGAAGTAAACACCTTAAGAAATAAAGAACATATAGTGAAAAAGCTGAAAAATTTAAATCAGAAATCTTGAAATTCAGGCTATTTGTTGCCATAGCAACCAGAATTTTCAACATAGGAAGAAAAGAAAAAGATGTGCATAATCTCCAGACTGCCATTTACCCATATTTCAAGTTTCATAAAAATATTTTCAGTACTTTTTGAGTTATCACTGGATCCAGTTTATGTCTTAAATTTGCCTTATTTTCAGACTATTTGTTGCCATAGCAACCAGAATTTTCAACATAGGAAGAAAAAAAAAAGATGTGCATAATCTCCATACTGCCATCTATCCATATATCAAGTTTCATAAAAATATTTTCAGTACTTTTTGCGTTATCGCGGGATCCAGTTTTGTGGACTGACGGACTGACAGACAGACAGACGGACGTTCTCACAGGACAGTAATTATGTGGCTACTCTATTGTTCTCTCTATTGTTCTTTTTAGCCACACAAAAGAAAATAGCCACATAAAAGCATTACGGAATGAATGACATCAAAGAGAAAAAACAGTTACCTATTGTCCCTCTAGCCACATAATTACTCTCCTGTGAGTGCGGACAGACAGACGGACAGACGGACGGAGGGTAAACCTAAAGTCCCCTCCGGTTAAACCGGTAGGGGACTAATAAACATCGAGTGTTCCGAGTGAAAACGGAAGCGGTGCATGTAATACCGAATGACACCTTTAAATGGAAAGAATGAAAGGATTTTTTTAACGACTTCCCCGTTCATAGGCTTTGCCTAATTTCATATTATATTGGACTATGTCCCTGCATGATTGGTAAATATTGTGCCCGGGCAAATTATTTAAGATAATAAAATCGTCAATGCATGTTAAACTTTTGCTTGTATGTCCCATGTTAAATATTTCATAAAAATTACTAAAAACAAATAAATCAACAATTATTTAAAGTTTACCAAAAAAAGTGACGAGTTGACCATGGGACGAGTTGATGCTTAGAGTTGACATGGGCGGACAGAGGCATTAAATGTAAAAAATAAGGGTTGACAGTCAATGATATACAAAGTTTTTATTAAATCAATACTCCCTTGATACATGTGAAATGTTAAAATTTACCTAAAATGCGTTTTGAAAACGAAAAACTATCTAATCTGATGTCCTTTTCTTCTGTTAGGGCGCTGACATTTTATAACTGCTGACTTTAGTTTCGAATGATTGTCGAATTTGTTGAATGAAATAGTTTTAAATTTGTCCTGTATATATTTTAGATCGAGCCTTTAATGTATCTTAAGCATATGCAGAAATATCCAGAACATTTTGTATCAAACAAAAATGATACGAAAACACGCAAATTTTCAAGATGGCGGCTGTTGCAGTTACCAAACCGCCGGGTGTCACGGAAGACGATGAAGAATGGCTATATGGAGGTAATAATTATATGTATAAGTTAGTAAATATATTGTGTTTTAAACACATGCCTCAAATTACATATGCATGAGGAATGATGCTTACAGGGTATTTCTTGAAATCATGAACATTCACATTGACACATGAATTCGCGATGATTAATATAAAAATGGCAAAGCCCCATTTGAAGCGAGCTCGATTTACTTTTACCGTGAAATAGTAAGTTGAAAAAAGCAAAGCCTCAAAGCGAGCTCGAGTTTCTTTTACTGTAAGATAGTTTAAAATAATCGTTCATTTTTATTTTACATTTTCCGTTTTAAAATTGTCATTCGGTATTTTTATACACTGCTTCCGTTTATTCTGGTTCCCCTTTCTATTATGGTTCCTATATAAGTGCACAGGACACCAGTCTACGCTTCCGTTTTCAATCAGAGTACATTGGCTTTTATCGTTATCTTGTAATTCGAAAAGTTGCGATGTGTCAATTCGGTACTTCGGACAAAAGTTTTCAAAACCATCACTTAGCAGGTACTTGCGTTACCATAAAGCTCACTTTGGAAGCAGGCCCTTTGGGCCAGCTCGTCGAGCTCGCTATGAATTAATCGTTCATTTTTATTTTACATTTTCCGTTTGTCAGTCCGTATTTTATACACTGCTTCACGCATCTGTTTTCAATCAGAATAACTCAGCATTTATCCTTATCTTGTAATTCAAAAAGTTGCGATGTGTCTATTCATTACTTCAGCAGGGCTCGCGCTGGCAGGAGCCAATGAGCAAATTGGCTCCAAAATTATTAAATTGGCTCAAGAAAATCATGATTGGCTCCAACTTACGAAAAGTATAACTTTTGGAATATCCAGTCTAAATTTAGCATTTGCTATTTTAAGAATGGAAAAGTACACATTTGGTTTTCCATTTACAACTTCCGCTTTACCGCTTCTTATCACAGTCTGCTTTTTGTGGGGTCATTGACTGGTCTATATTTGTTACTTCCCTTCCAAATAAAATATCGTTATAAACAGTAACACAGTCTAATACACTGACCTCGTGGTATGTTTACATGTTTATCAGCTGATATATATGACACTAATTGGTGTGAATTGTTGAATGTGCACTGGATAATTGGTCTTTATATTCGATATGAAACAATAACTAGCGGCATCTTAAGATTATCGCCAATCATATCAACAGCTTGGTTATGAAATGGACGACTTTACGGTAAGTTTGCAATCATATAATTTTATTGTTGTTGATAAAAAGATCAAAGGAATTATGAGTTATAGAATAGAAGTTTTTTTTTTTTAAAAAATTGCAAATTAAATCTGACCTAATAATGGCTCCAAAAAAGCATAAATTTGACAAAGAGTATATTTGACAATTAGTATTCCTGAAAAAAAAGTTGACCTTACTTTGTACATAACCTCTATCTGGAGCATTCATTTACAAAATTAATGGCATACATGGCTGTGAAATGTTTATGGAAAATTCAAGAAACATACAACATATTTTTAGGAAACTTATGCTAATTACTTTACTCTTATAATGAATATTTGGCTTTTTTTTCCCTGAAGTATGTTTAGTTTAGAACTTTTCAATATTCTTTTCTTCATTAATAATTATTCTTCTTACTCTCAAATGTTTCTGTTTTTACAATTTCAGATACAGATAGTCCTCAAACCAAATCGTTGGCATTTACCAAGCAAGCTGAAGCAGCACATTGGAATGTGGTTCTGATGTCACTGTCATGCCACTAACTTAGATTTTATGAAAACATTGCTGACCAAATTAGCCTGGAAAATGTTATTCTTATAGCTACTGAGCTGCAAGCTTTTATGATCAGTTTTAAAGTGATTAAAATGTAGCTACCAAAATAAAGTTGGATATACATGTAGTTTATGTTTTTTTTCTAAATATCTCATGCCTTTTTAAGGTGTTCCATATATGAACTAATGCTATAAATTAGTCTGACAATTGAATTCTGGTAATTTGGCAGTACCATTGCCTTCTTGAAAATAAAATACAGGCACGCAATTTTTGCCGCGAAAAATTGGCTCAAAGAAAAAATCTGCCAGTGCTAGCCCTGCTTCAGACAAATGTTTTCAAAACCACTACTGTCTAGCAGGTACTCGTGTTACCGTAACTCTAGTCCTATAAATATGACGTCGCTTTGAGATATTTTTGCTTCTGGGCAAAGCAACGTCATATCGAAATTGCTCAAAAACCCATAGCATGTTCCGCCAGAAAATCGGGCGGAACGAAAAACAATGAAGACAGCATGTATTTACATAAGTTTTGACCTATATATGAACAAAACTAAAAAATAAATACCTTTTACTGTCACATCCGAAAAATCATGATTAAATCCTCTCATGTATTTCAATTCTTTTTACAGCCGATAAACAAATGGGGCCATCCTTAAAAAAATGTTTGTTTGCAGTAACCCGACCCAGAATTTTCAAGGTGGGTAGGTAGGTCGATTTTTTTTTTTTATTGAACTGTTCATACATTTCATTTCTTCTATTAACCTTTAAAAGAATGAAAACAAACCACAAAGCATAATTTTCTGATTCAAAAAATTTTTTTTATCCAGACCATGAAAAAAAATTTTGAGTAGGGGCAAATTTTGTGAGTCGGTAGCGTTACTGCAAACAAACATTTTTTTAAGGATGGCCTGGCGGCCATAAAGTGCGCGAAATCTGATTGGCTAATTCAAGTGCAAGCGTTTAACTGAGTCAGAACAATCTAACGGAATATTTTTTTAAGGAAATAATTGCCCATGCACCATCAGTGTGTTCGAATATTTTTTTCCGTTCAAAAATTTGGAATCAATCTGTAAAGCACCTTGCTTAACCAGTATGGCCGATAGACAAAAATATATTGATGTTTATATTTTAATTAAAATTGATAAGTACATTGTTTGAGAGTTATTGTGTATGATAAGCATGAAATTGAAAGAAAAGAAGATAAGCTTTTGAATTAAGCTTGAAAGGCAAGACAATATACATTTTTTGAATTTTTTATGATGCTATGCGTTTTTGAGCAATAACTATTAGACGTCAGGCTTGACCGACATAAACTTTAACAAGCCTTTAACATGTAATATATTGGACTACCGTAACTCTTGCTTTGCGAGCAGGCCCTTAAGGCCAGCACTTTGAGCTGGCCAGCACTTTGAATATGAATAAGGCAAAGCCTTAATGTGAGCTCTTTGATAGAAATTATAGTACATGAATATGAAATTAGGCAAGCCTGTGAACGGGGAAGTTGTTAAAAATTTCTTTCATTTTTTTCTGTTATAAAGGTGTCATTCGGTATTTCATGCATCGCTTCCATTTTCACTCGGAATACATGACATTTATTATTAATCCGAATAGTTGAGATTTGTTCCATTATCGGAATACACCTACAGTACAGCTCAAGCAATTTTTCCAAAGTCAGCCGATCCCCGCGATTTGTTTACGGGTGGATTGTCACCGCGATGTCCCTGCGATAGTTGTGACTTTCCGCTCGTCAACTTGATCGGGGGAAGTTTGCGCTGTGGGACATTGTCACCGTGGATCACTGTGAAATATTACAGCGATATTTCGCTCTCTCGGGTGACTATTAGTTTATTTATAACACGGGGACATTTATTACTATTACTGTATGTCTGTAAAATATAATGAACTCAAACACATTTTTTATAGAAGAAAATCTTTATGTTATGTATTTAAACGATGTTACATCTGTGATATGCAAATAATTACAAAATTTTATGATTTGCGTGTGAAATTAAAACCCTAATATGTAGTAACTTTTAACATAATTAATTTCAACTGCTTTAAGCCTTTTTAACCTTCTGATTTTACAGTGCTACAATCATATAAGAATTCTTAATTATTTCTTTGATCCATTTAAACGATTTTTTCTGTTAAATTTACGTGTGTTAATTACCTACCCTCCAAATATTGACGAGAACTAAAGTTTAAGTGGGTCATAGCATATAATACACACAAATTTACTTTTGAACTAAACATTTCTCTATTTGAAAGATTTAATGTCGCATTAACGGTTATGATCTGAAAATAAGATGTTACAAATATGTTTATTTCATCATGATCACAGATCTAAATTTTTAAATAGCGCATACCGTGGACTACTGTAGTTGTATAATAACTTATTATACGGTACGTCATTGATCTTAATTTTTAGATAGCACATACCGTGGACTACTGTAGTTGTATAATAAGTAATGAGATAGATTCTAATTTATTTCTATGGCACTGACACCTCACTATTATGGAGAAGTAATTCTCGACTTCTTAATTGCATTTTCCCATCACAGTCGTATTTAACGCCAAAAAAATTGTGGCTTTTGATCAGATTTCATAATGGCATCTTGCAAAGTTTACGTAAAAACATATGTTAAGGAAATGTTTGTTAAACTATAATAATATATAATTACGTACATGAACTAGTCCACGGCTGCCTTATTAGGTGTATTTGCTAATTGCTTAATTTTTGTAGGTGTAAATTGCTTTATTAAGCGGTCTTGAACAAAGAATAAATAAATTAGTTCCTTGATTGGATTTAACTCATTCTAAAGATTTGCCGGCTATTAAATGTACATGTATATTATATAATAAGTGGCATTTATTGTTTCAAGTATGAATAGAATTTCTAAAAAAAAACTTTTTAAGTGTTCTAGCAGCTATCGTTTCAACTTTTTACACAGAAACATCAAAGCATTTAATTTTCTTGAAATTGTTGACCGATTTCTTTAAATATTTTGTTATTCCATTTTCTTGAAACTTTTCTCATTGAACTGTTTTGTGATGTGATTTTCCCCGGTAAATGTACATTAATATCGCGGAGCTAACTAAATAATTTTATTGAATGATTAAAATCATCAGTCACATTGTAAGTCTTTTTGATTTTTTAAAAGAAGACTACATTGTACATTTACATGAACATTTATGTGTATATGCAAATTAATCACTGCAAATCTCTGTGATTTTCCACCACGGATTGCAGGGTTTTTTTACTACCCGTCCGTGGTGATTTGTCGCCGTGGGATACTATAGTATGTCCCCCGTGATTTTCTGTTCGCCGTTAAAAGTGTCCGCGGTGAATGAGTGGAAAGAGGAAAAATTGCTTGAGCTGTACTGTAACTAGAACTGATTTACCAAATAGACCCTTTCCTATACTTTTGCAGTACTTCTGGTGAAACTTTTCAAAACCATCACTAGGGCTGTCATGAGATATCACAATATCAATATGTCAACAATATTCATCTCCCAATACTTATGGATACACACTTTCAAATATTGATACAAGCTAAAATTTCTTTCTTTCATGTGTTCGTTTTGCTAGCAGGCCCTTCTAGCCAGTTCTTCGAGCTCGCTATTATGGTTCACATGAAAGTGCGCAGGAGATCATTCTACTCATCTTTATCTTGTAAGTTGATAAATTGTGATTGACCATAATAGACCATTACCCATACTTTTGCAGTACTTCTGTTGAAAGTATTCAAAACCATCACTATCTAGCAGGTACTTGCATTACTGTAAAGCTTGCTTTGCGAGCAGTCCCTTCCTGCCAGCTCTTCAAGCTCGCTATTAGGCAATTTAGGCCTGGCTTCCATAATTTGATGTACAGTAAAAACCCTCAATTAAGACCACCTTCGGGACTGGACCAAAGTGGTCTTAATTGCGGGGTGGTCTTAATTGTGAATATTCTTATCAATGCTTACACACTTTTTGACCATGGTCTATTTTAGTCATTTTGTATGAACAAACAATATATATACCTGCAAATACAACTTAAAAATATGTTATAAATTAACATCTGATGGGGTGAAAGAAATTTTATATCAAATTCTGTTTTGTCTGATTTCAATATCAATTTCAATATTAATTATTATATGATGTACATAATTCACCCATCAAATAAAAAAATTAGATCTTCGCATAATCAATGTGCTTAAAGCAAGATTAAACAACTGTAAAATTTACTTTCTCACCTTATTTCATACAATATCCCAATGATATAAGGTGTTTTGACACCTTGTGAAATTAGGTGTCATGCCTTAGAGCATTCAAGCTGATAATAACAGCAAATTTAAAATCTAGGTAGGTGTTGACTTTAAATCAGTGGTCTCAATAGTGGGGTCAAATAAAGAACAAAACAAAGAATTGGGACTGAATCTGGTGGTCTTAAAAGTGGATAAGCGAGGTGGTCTTAATTCTGGATCATGTAAACATTGACATAAAGAACAGAAAATTCCGTACTTTTAAAAAATGGTCTCAATAGCGGGGTGGTCTTAATTCCGGGGTGGTGTTAAGTAGGGATTCTACTGTATTAATATAAGGTTACTAGCTTTGTCTAAGTCACTTACAGAGGTTAGGTACATTAAAGACTGTCTTAGTGACCCCCTGTTTATGAGTTCTGTCTTTAGTGACCATAGTTTGGTGCGCCAAACAGTATTTGCTATATAAATGGTCTGTATGTAGCGACTCCCTGTCTAGTCTGTACAAGGACCATGATTAAGTCACCCATTACGGTATATGAGCCGTGCAAAGCGACTTTTGCAAGGGGAGCAGGGCTTGAGCTAGGGGGCGACTTCGGCGAAGAAGTTGCCTTCAAATCAATGACTTCGCCTTAAACAAATTTCAAAGCGATTTTGAAGTCGTCCGATTTTTTTAATGATCTGTTATACTTATTTACGCGGCTAGGTCTGTTAACAATTTGTTTACCTCTCAATTACAACCAATTACCGTTTATCCGCTAGTTAAGAACGCGTGTCGACATCAACAAAGTCTAATACATGCTGCAAGGCAAGAGTTCACTATGTATATCTCTGTCAGTTTGTATTCATGCGAATGACGAATCAAAATGCGCGTTGTATCTACG